TTAAATTATATATATTTGCTTAACAAATATATAGATTTATTAAGTTTTTTTTTTCTTTACAATTTTGTAATAAGACTATACTAACAAATAACTATTTTTTAAAATAATAATAAACGGACAAAAATTACCTGGAACCTGATCTCGACAAATTCTTCACGGAGAATCCCACCTCGAATCCCGCACAAATGAAAAATTTACCCATAGGAAATCTCACCCCAAACTCGCAAAAATAAATGAAAATTTTCACAGCAATTAAGAATAAAATAGATGACATGGATGGGGGATGGGAAGACAGGGATAGGTGCGTGAACAAATTTTCCATCCCTACCCTATGAACATCTCTATTTTTTTTCGTATGTATACCATTTTTTAAGTAGATTAGACCAATTTTCTCTCCCAACTGACCGAAAGCTCAATAGTATAGGTTAAAAGCATATGATTCCAAAAATTCGAAAATATAATCCTAGCAGAATGGTGAACATTTAAATGAAAAAAATTAAGTAATGAGTATACTCTTGGCTAAAATATTCAAGAGATTGGAAATAAATATATTAAGAGGCCTAAAGAGAAGGAAAAAATAGGGAAATAAGTAAGTATTAAGAGACTAAATAAATATAAATATTAAACTAATTTAACAGCCATAAACAATATAAATAATTTAGGGTAATTTAAAAAGAAACGTTAAGAAAATGATTTTTTAAAAAACAAAAAAATGGAGAGAATAAATTACCTACGACAGTGATCTGCAGAAGAATATTAGGACACCAAACCCTAACTCCAAAGCTCAAAGAAGAAGATCATATCAGATCTTCATAGGCTCAAATTCCAATACCAAAAAATAAACCCAGAAAATACGCACACCTTCAAACCAACCAACACCCGTCCACAAACAATCCGTGGCCTCCAATCGCCGCCGCGAACCGCCGACTGAAACACACACGCGCCACCCTGAGGAGAGGGTAACAATGGAAGCATCTTTGGGTATTGAAGTGAAGGGTTGGGAAATTGAATAACTCAAAGGGATTATGAAACCAAACATAATGTAATAATTAAAGTGAAATTAAAAATGAGGGACAGGCAGACAGAGAGACAAGGCATGCACGAAGGGCTATGAACACATACTGTAACAAATCATTGTCGTAAAACCCATAAAGCATTTGAATTTGCGTTCATCATCATTATGATTTCGGCCCCGTGAGCTGCAAAAGAGAAACAATCATTTCATTTCATTTTTGTTCACAAAATTTGCACTGGAGAGTCGAGATTTGAAGATTCAGAATTTGACCCGAACTTCATTGAGACCTTGTAAACAAGCCTTGATTTCAACTTGTTTGTAATGAGGGGTGTTACAAAGAGAATCCGACAGAGCTGAATTGGCAGCATGCCCACCTCCCCAACATCATATAAAACCCCAACCAAACAGTAAACACTCGGTGAAGCCGGGAAAGGAGGTGGACAGAATGCCAATGAACTCTGCGGGGAAGCCCTTTGCTAAACAAACCCACATCAAACCAAGAAAACCCCATGAACCCTAAATCTGAGAGGACATGGATATCGACAATTGCAGGGAAAGTGGTTGTATTTAGTTAAATTTAGATGGATCGAACAAACAATGATGAGGGTTCGTTTCAGTAGGTCATATGGGTCCGGGGGCGCCTGATGAATGGTTCCGAAGGGTTATTTATATATCAACATCTATATCCCCCGACTCCAATAATCATGTAGAGTTGCTTTTAATAATTGAATAAACTTTAATTAAATTTATAAAACATAACGAATATTTAAGCAATCATTTTAAGTACATAATAAATTTTTCCAAGTTTTTTATTTTCCACGTCAGCTAGTGGAATTAAGTATTGGAAGAAGACTTGTTGAACATGATTGTAAGAATCCTAGATCAAATATAGTAGTTTATTTATTTATTTATTTGTTGTAGAGGTGGTTAAAAAATGAAAAATAACTATTGGGAAACGGGGTGGTAAAAGAGTCGGTAAAAAGTTAAATACTATTATATTTAATGCATTGGAGGCGTAAACATTACATCACAAACATGATCCAGGGGTTAAAAAAAAAAAATCACCGCAGTAAAGAGAAGCAACCCGCGGTTAAATAAAATTTATCATTCAAACCGGCGGACGCTCGTAGACTGGAACAGGCAGGCGCCTCGGTACTTTTTTTTTTCTTTCTTTCTTAAAGTAATAAACTAAAATACCATATTTCGTTTTCATATTTTTTAAGTTTATTTCATTTTATTTTTTTTTATTTTTAAATATCTAAATTTATTCTACATATATATTATTAAATCTTAAAATTAGTTTGAAATTATATTTTATCTAAAATATAATATTTATTAAAAGTTGGACGATTAAAATTAGATAATTAAAAATACACAAACTAAAATAAAATTTAATATTGATTTTAGGAATTTATTGTTAAACGAACAGGCCTCCTCACAATGGTATGATATTGTCGATTTTGAGCCTAAGCTCTGATGACTTTACTTTGAGGTTTTCCGAAAGGCTTCATATTTTTTTGTTTATAAACTTATGGTTATTCTCTAAATTAAGGGACGAGCGACTTTCATCCTCGAACATGTATAATTAGAATTTTATTAAATAAAGTAACATCGGATTACACCAAAAAAGAGAGGGTAATTTGTGGTTGATGGGGGTTTCTTAGTAAATGCACTTTTTTCTGACAATGTCTCATCGTAATCCATGAGCATTAATATTAGCTTAAAAATTATGGGAAACAAAGTACACATTAAATGAACATAAATGAAATGACTGAGCTTGTAGGCACCAGAATTTCACTTCAAAATTTAAAAGTCTCCTCCCTTTCCATAAAATCATAGTATTATTAGATGGAAAGAAATTACATATTTTCTTTTCCAAAGCGGAAAATCAATGCACATAATAGAAATATACAATTCAAATTAAATTATTTTTTATTTAAAGGGCTTTCATATAATCATTTATCCATTTCAAGTTGATTTAAAAGATAAGATTTTTTTAATAATACTACGATTTTATGGAAAGGAATGATAATTTTAAATTTGGAAGTGAAACTCTTCTACGGGGAAGCTCAGCCATTTCATTTATGTTCATTTAATGTGTATTTTATTTCTCATAATAATAAAAGAACGATAGTTATGGATTATATTTAGGCATGTCAGAAAAGTGCATTTAATAAAAAACCCACGCGAAAAATTAGAGTTTTTATTTTCTTTCGCTGTAATTCGATGTTATTTAAGAATAATAACAATGAATTGAAATTAAAATTTACATTTATTTAGTTCTTAAATTTTGAAAAGGGTTTAATGAGTTTTTTTATATCTATATTTTAAAAGTGTAATCAAATTTTTATAAGTGATAATGCCACGTGGAATTTAACTGTTGAAAATAGGAGAGAGCGGTTGAAATATTTGAAGTTTACAAGTAGAGGGAGAATAAGCTTATGGTAACGGTTACTTAGAATTCGAATTTGAATTAGTAATGGTCATGGGTGGTTCCTGAAATGATGAGAGCTTGTCTTAGCTATCAGCAGTTACTCTTACCAAATTTAATTTTATTTATAGTTTCGTAGTGAAAAAATAAAATTGACATATTAATGAAAATGACTCAAGTTTTATGACTCTTTATACGTTATATTTTGTTTTTTTTTTTGTCACTTTAATTTTAATTTTAAAAAAATATTAAAACACTTCCTAAACTTAAGCCTGTACCTACTGAGATACTTAATTTCGAGTTGTACTAATTCAATAGTGAAGCGCAAAAATACTTTTTTTCTTTTTTTTTTTTGAAAGCTTTATCAATATTTGATGTAACGTCTCAAGTACATCGCCGACATATATTATTATTGTAGTTTTTATTTTCGAGCTTCCTCTCAAGGTTATAAAGATGATTTATTATCCTCCTCTAACGTGGACTCTCACAATTCATCTCCTTTTCGGGCCCAACGTCTTCGCTGACACTCTTTCTCTTCTCCAATTGATGTGAAAACCTCTTTGGAGCCTAACGTTCTTGCTGACACACTGCATTGTGTCTACCACCCGTTGAGGTTCAACTTCCTTGCTGACACATCGTCTAGTGTCTAACGACGATATCTTTTGTAATCATCTAAGTTTACTACTAGTAGATATTGTCCGCCTTAGATTATACTCAAGGTTTCTAAAACGCGTATGGTAATAAGAGGTTTTCACTTCCTCTCATTTATAAAGGATGCTTTATTCTACTCCTAGACCGGAGTAACGCTGTACCTCGGGCACAAAATTTCAATAGAACACTTACAAATATATAAATATATTATTTATAATAATAATAAAAAAAAGATATCTAAAAAAGAAACACCCGTGAGGGTTGGAATCCATTTAAACTTGGGACAGGAACGATAAAAATGAGAGGGGGGGGTGAGGGACAGTGCGAATATAGACCACTCAGCGCAGGGTATGCATGGAGGAAGCAAGCACATTTGGAAGTGATAGCGAGTGGATAGGGAAAAGTTTACACCTTTTTTCCTGCATTTGCATTAAAATCCTACGCTGCACCGTGTCTGTGTAAGGAACAAAGTTTGACACTAACTCGGCTGAGTCAATAATGATAATAACAATAATAACAATAATAACACTAATAAAAAAGTGTGGTTTCAAATATCTTGGCGCAGAGATATGATTCAGAAACCGAAAAAAGGAGTGACAGTGCATGTCAACGTTTGGGTTTTGGCAGACCAGACCTCTTTACAATCTCTGCACACTTCCAATGACACGACTCGACTCACACCCAGAACAAGAACAACAAGATTAATTAATTTCTCTTACGAAAATATTTACCAGTTTCTTTCCTCACTAAAAGCCAATTCTGCGTAACAGTTGCCTTTCTCGCTTCCAACCATCTTCTTTAATTCTTCCTCTTTTCTTTCCCCCCACCCTCTTTTAATTTTAATCCACTTTATTTATCTTCCAAATCATATGCTCTTTCTCTTCCTTCCTCCTCCCCCCCTTTCTTTTCTTCTCTGTCTTTTCTGATTTTCCCGGCCACTTCTGTTGACCGGTCATGTCAACGCCGGCGAGGACCAAGAGCTGGAATGGCGACGTGGATAAGCATTACCCACCGGCGCTGGCCACCCATGATGAAGTTATTTCTGACCCCATTGTGTTTTGGGACACTTTGAGGCGTTTTCATTTTGTGATGAACACCAAGTTCATGTGAGACACCTTTCTTCTTCTTCTACTATTTTTTTTTTCCCGACTTGGTAAATGAAGTAAAATGGTGCTGCACAGCCAAAAGACACCATTTCTTTACTCTTTTCCTTCCTCTAATTTCTAAGCATCAATCTTTTTCCAGTAAAAAATATGAAGAAATCGAAGTTTTTAACTTTTACTTTCCTTTCCTTGAATACTTAAAAGGATTCCTGTGATCGGAGGGAAGGAGCTAGACTTGCATGTTTTGTATTCAGAGGTTACAAGGAGGGGCGGCCATGAAAAGGTAAGGTTTGGCCCTTCGTCTTCCATTTTTCAACAACAAAGCTCTTGGTTTGAGAAAATGGAGTGATTTTGACTATGCAAGTTCCTATTTCATGGCGGTTTAGGTTGTTGCAGAGAAGAAATGGAGGGAAGTTGGAGGTATATTTAAGTTTTCTCCTACGACCACAAGTGCTTCGTTTGTATTGAGAAAACACTATCTAAGTCTTCTGTACCATTATGAGCAAGTTTACTTGTTCGGCCGGCAGGGCCCCATCTGTGCCCCTCAAGGTCCCTTTTTGTTCTCCCCTTCCATTTTTCCTTTTTTACTTTATCCGTTATTTTCCATATCGGATTTTGCTGTAAATCTGAGTTGGGTTTTGTCCTTTTCTTCTTCTACAGCGCCATTATCTTTTGGTAGCCCTACGAGGGATAGCGAATTGGCTATGGTGGAATATACTCCCAAGACAACGTCGTTTTCGCCTGCGGAAGGTGACAACCTTTCACATTCCTTGCTTTTCTTCGTGGGGTCAAGTAATAAAAGTAGAACAGTTGTTGCCACCAATGCCTTCTATTTAACTGATTCGATTCGATAAATTATTGGGAGGGAGGGACCGTAGAGCTGAGTGGCTACACCAAATAAATTCTCCCTACTATGTGTGTCTGCGTTGGTTTTTCATTCAGTTTTGTTCCATTCCTACTTCGCATCTCTTCATATTTGTGTTTTTTTTTAACCCAAGTGGTTGATGTTTTTCAGTTACTGGAACAATTGATGGGAAATTCGACTGTGGTTACCTAGTGACTGTGAAATTGGGATCCGAGGTTCTTAGAGGAGTACTTTACCATCCAGATCAGCCAGTCCCGTCTGATCTACGGCCTCAGTCTACAAATGCTATTATACCTTACACTGGTGGCAGACAGAGACACGCTGGTCGACGACACCGGAGACGCCGGAGAAAGACAGACCCTAACCACCCAAAACCGAACAGAAGTGGGTACAATTTCTTCTTTGCAGAGAAGCATTACAAGCTCAAATCTCTGTACCCAAACAGAGAGAGGGAGTTCACCAAGATGATTGGAGAGTCTTGGAACAAACTAAGTCCTGAAGAAAGGATGGTATGTCTGTCTAGCTTTTTACCAAAGTTCCAACAGTTCTTGACTTTTTGTGGGTTTGATCAAATGGTTGTCTCTGCTCCTATAGGTTTATCAAAACATTGGGCTGAAAGACAAGGAAAGATACAAGAGAGAGTTGAAAGAGTACAAGGAGAAAATGAGGCAGGCAACTGCTGATATTCAGGCAACTAACTGTTCAAAACATGGAGAGTAACAAAGAGGGAAGAGAATTCAGCAGTTTAGGTCTTTTTTTGGGTCTCTTGTCAAGTTATATGATATATAAACTTTGTATCATATCCTTCTAACTTTACATGGCAAATCATAGGTTCTTATATCCAAGTGCTTGGCCTCAAACTGCTGCTACACACTACAATGTCACTATTGGAACTCTCATACTATGCTGCTACACACTAGATTCTTAGAATTTTCAACTTTGAAATGACAGAGGAATGTGCCCTTTTTAACTTCGTTTTTGTTTCTTATTCCATCAGTGGTCATGATGAAGCCAACCAAATGAGCCTTAGAGAGAGGCTTCTTCTGTGTCATGTGCTACAATATTCGAATATTAACAAACATGGTTTAAAAGAAAGTAAACAAAGGCACAGAAGCAAATGAGTGAATGTTAGAAACAGTTGATCATATATGCACAAGAACGTTAGAATTTTCATCAACTGAGTCATGTAATGATCATTAGAATATCTCTTCAGGTGAGAAAGCCACTTCTGCAATCGGATTAGGCCAAGAGCCTTTCACTTCAAACCTTGCAGCCTCTCTTAAGAGGGGCAGTGGCATTCCCTTTTGCTAAATCAGAAATTGCCCTTTTGTTGGGTGCGTGGGTGTCTACTTCACTATTTCGATCCTATGTTTGTTTGTTTATCAAAATGCTGATTACTACGTAATCTAAGATTGTTAAACTGAGTCCAAGTTATAGAATTTGGGTTTCTTAAGTCTAAAAACAAAATGAATTTGCTAATCATGTAGACATTTGGCATATCATCACATAAATAGAACATAAGCTAAAATTCCTACAAGTCATTCACTCAAATCAAGTGACAAAAAATTGTTAAGCGAACTCTACCTTACTGAGTTTGTGTGAGGAAACATACCCCAAAGCGTGTGTTCATTCGCGTTTGTTGAGGCCGTGAAAGAAACGGCGTTTTCTCCTAGAATGCCTCTGGAATTCTTTGAAATGCACCTGCAACAAGCTGTTGTTTCAGTCTATCATTGACTGAATTTTCAGGTTGGATAAAGCTTCTAATACTTAGAAATTATTTATGCTGGAAAAACAAAAATCAGATCATAGGAAGTCCGGGAAATAACATGAGAATTATTGGGGATTCCAGAATCCTGAAGCGCAGAGTTATCAAGAAGTTTTCTCGTTGTGATGTGGTAAGCAAAAATTTGGTCAGAAAGCTATCAACTGATCACTTTTTATGGTTGCATATACCACAGCAACAAGAAAGAAGTACCATGAAATGTGGCGATGCCCCATCTCGTTTACTTTCTTCTTGATCGCAGGCTTCAAGTTCTTCGATATCGCAGGGATCTGATCCCCACATCTTCAGCACGCACAAGATCGCGAATCTCCACATCTTCACGATCTCCATTTATATATGTGTGGGTGCGCGTGTAAATTGTGTGGATGTGAGACAGTTCTTTGCCATCATTACAGATGTGGGACTGGAACCCCACTCTGAACCGCAATGTGCAACAAACCAGAAAAGTTTTAAAGCATGAGCCAATTAAAAATATCATGAACGCACATTTCGTTATCATATTTTTATTCTTCGATTATTTTTAGTGCAGTATATGATAGAATTTTGCTCAATCTCTACTTTTTGAAAGAAAATAATGACAACTTGAAGAAAATCAAAATTCATCCAAACCACATAGATTGAATCAATCAGACACATATAAAATTTTTCACTTGTATACCCATAATATTTTCTATATCCATAATATTTTCTGTGGAGTCAAGGGGAGACTATGTTCGCATTTAACAACAAATATCATATCTAAATCCAATACCTAGTCAAGTCATTAGTACTCGATCTAAAAGGTTTCATATTTTACAGCAATGTAGATGTGAATTCACAGCATTAAGGATAGATAATTGCATGTAGTTAGGAGTGGTAACCTCCTCGCTCCACCATAAAACGCTCTGCTCCAGCCCAAATTTTTGGCCGCCTTCCAGATGAGCCCTGCCACTCCGCAATTATCTATTATGTAATCTGTTCCAGGAACGTAAGGTGCCTGAAAACGTCCCCTTGTAAGCAATAAGTTTGAACAGTTTCAGCAGAACTTTTCCCTACCTCCTTGAGGGTTTGCTGCAAAAGTTTCGTAATTTCAGAAAATTCAGGTCTCAAAGATGGATCCTGCCGCCAGCATCTCTCAAGCAAGTCCACGATCATTGGATTTGCATGCCTCGGAATCTTAGGCCTCAGACCCTGAAGTTCATTTGCCGAACTACTTGTAATTTGAAGTCATGTGGATGAGAAAGTGCACTTGAATATTTCCAACATCACTATTAATCTACCGACATTACTTGAAAGCTTTGCAGAGATGTAAATTAAGAATATGTTCTTGTTTCTTCCCATAGAATGTTTCTGACCGTTAAATTGTTGACTTAGAGTTGCATGTCAATTCTAACTAATTACAATTGCAAGCTAGACGGAACAAGTGGAATTTTCTTAATGAAATGCCTCAGACTAGGGAAGTTTATTTCTCTCGGCTCGTACAAGATCTACATGACTTGCAGTTCAAAACTGAATGTTATGCTTACTAAGACAGAAAAAAAGAGGACGATGAGATGGGGATGGATAGCAGGGGAAGAATCGAAACAAAATGGTCCATTTCATTTTTTAACAAAATATTGTACGAATGAGGAAATACCTTCTGGATCACGCCCATTGCTGCTTGTAACGGAGTCAGGTTATCATAAGGCAGCTGACATTCCGGACACAAAGCAACCAAAAGATGGTTAGAAAGGACACAAGGAAAAGAAATTATATTTCGAAACAGAAGAAAAGGATTTACCTGCCCTGTAAGCAGCTCCCACAACACTATCCCAAAGCTGTAAACATCAGCTTTATGATCATATGGTTTGTGCTCAATAACCTTGCATTCACCAACCACAAACATCCAAACGTCAAAAGAGCAAGGAAAAACTACCACGTCGAGAAAAAATTACATTATTGGCATCAAGGCTGGATTATATGCCAATTTCATTTCCTTTTGAAATAGCAAGGAATTGAGAATGGAAACATATCTTCGAAGAGTTCTATGATCCCAAGTTCAAAAGTAATCAAAATAACCAGAAATCATTCATGACAAATGTCCACGGGGAGAAAAAGTTTTTTCTTTCTCAGTTCCTTTTGATAGTTCTAAAAACAACTATTGCACATCCTAAAACTTCCTAGTAACGATTGCCGTGCTGGTGCTGCAGAGTACACATGTTAGCATGTATCTCATATGAGAAAACGATAAGACTAGGTACATAGAACTCTGATCCGTTAGATCTTTCTTGAAAACTCAAACTTACAATTGGAGCGCCTGATGTCAATCGTAGGGTGAATATATTCGCAGAATACAAACCTCTGGAGCCATCCAACGATATGTTCCAGTTTCTGCAGTCATCACACCAGATTGAGATTGCACTCTGGCAACACCAAAATCAGCTACCTTGACAACCTGTCAAACATTTTGGTTTAAAGGTGGGACTGAAATAAAAAAACAATCTGATAGAGCTCAAAAAAAAAAAAGAACAGAGGCACACTTGAGAATGGGTACTCCGGGAGATGACTTAGTACACTAGGATTGACAAAAGATACTCCGCAAATTCAAATAACGATTATGCTTGTAAATGTTTATTATAGAAAAGGAAAATCATTGGATTCAAATCAGGTTCAAAGCCTGCAGTACAGAGTAATGGCAGTCAAATGTGTCGATTGAAACATGTAAAGGCTCAAACCTTGTACCCACTCTAATTTATTCACGCTCTTATTTGAATGTCAATTTAAGGGTGAATAATCAATTACATACAGATGCAAAGCTCAGAACAATGCCTTTTGTTATTCTATTATTAACATTATAATGGGTTATCGTTGTCACATAAATCATAGAGAACAAGGCGGCTAAATAGTATTGATCATAAAATTGAAAGTGACCAATAAAGTGAAAGTATTGCGTGGGTAAGATCGGACGCATTCCCATTAAATCTAACCGGAAATCAGAGCGTTATTCCTGTGAGTGCACCAGATCAATTGTTATGAAATGAAGATGCATAATATTCCCACCAAATTGAATAGCAGCAAGCATGATCGTGGAAACTAACAGAAAACAATAAGCCAAAATGACTTGGGAAGTAATCAAGTACGTCTTATGATGACTTATCAAAAGATCACCAAGTTAAATGCAAAAAATTTATTTCTTACCCCATCTTCGTCCAACAAAAGATTTGCAGCTTTCAGATCTCTATGGATGATATTCTTTTGATGCAAATAGTTCATTCCCTTGGACACATCAACTGCCACTCTTAGTAAGGAAGGAAAACTAAGAACGCCCTTTTTTTGATGTAAGAAGTCATGCATGCTTCCACCAGGCATGTATTCTACAAATCATGGGCATATAATGTACACATTATCATACATGCAAACCAGACTTCATCAGTCTTATATCAACGAAATGTGTAATCAGATTACCAGTAACAATAAAAGCGCTTGGAGGTCTGGTAGATGCACCAATAAATTGGACAACATTCTTATGCCGAAGATTTCTACAAATTTTAGAAACAAGAGGGGATGAGAAGGAACTACTAGAGTGCTGAGATTCTCCACCATCCACAGGCACTCTTCGACCCAGGTATATTTTACTCCTCGAATTAGTTAGATTTTGAAGCACAAAGATAAACTAATAATAATTGAGTCCAGAGACATATGCCAATGATACTGATAGGAATGCCATATTTTAGCGAAAAGATCACCTAATTGGCAGACTATCAAATCACAATATTCTTGTATATGAAATGAACATACAAGATCTTAAAAACAGAAAAATGAGAAAACAGATAATAACGGTGTGGAAAATTAAGCTACACAGCATAAGAATGGAGAAAAGATCACCTGATTAGCAAACTATCAAATCACAATAATCATTGTAAATGAAGAGAACATGCAAGATATTAAAAACAGAAAAATTGAGAGAACGATAGCAGCATTGTGGAAAATTAAGCCAGGATATAAAAACCTCATGATATGAATTTCTTGAGCAAATTCCCGCCGTACAGCCTCATTCAAGCTTCCATCTTTTAGAAGCTTAATAGCCACCTCTTGACCATAGAAAGTGCCTTTATACCTACATCATTAACACCACATTTTGCAACAAACATCCGAACACAAATAGTGCATTACCTAAATTATAAGTAAACTCACAAGTCACTAAAAGATCCAGAAACAATTTTCTTCTCATAGATTAACAGACTCGCATCAATTTCCCGTGCACCAACTTTGTGCCGTGGAATGTTGACATAATTTGCAATGAATTTGACTCCAATTTTGTCTTTCTTCCCAGTTGGGGAAATGCTCCAAGGTGTAAATAGAGGATGCCTTTTCTGTATAACCAAACTTATTAGATGCATCACGTACATGATAAAACAAGAAAATAAATAAGCAATACTATTCTATTATTAGTAACTAATAAGAATTCAAAACATGATCAGACGAAGTATAACCATCCATAGCAATGTAACCTTTAACAAGAATATCAGCAGCTACCTGAATCTTTGATATTTCTTCAGCTAGTATATCCTTTAGCTGTTTGGTATCCTATATATTTCAAAACTCCATGTCAAAAATCAATTTGTATAGAGGGAAAAGGTAACAATGTTTTACAAAAAATACTCGAGCATTCTGTACTAAAAACATCTGCAATCTCTTCTCCATATTCTAATCGATGTTATATGAAGATGAAAACGAAAAGCTTTGGAAGAGGAGCCAGATTACCTCAATTGCCCAACCATCAACTACAAAAACATCCAAGGAAAAGCCATCTGTTGTTGAAAAAGCATGCGCTTCTTGAATATTCAGCCCAATCTCAGAAAGTAAGGACGTCAACTGAAAAAGTTATTTCTGTTATGAATGTATTACGTCTAATCACATATTTAACTAAAATAAATCGTAACAGCTAAGTGATTTCAAAACACGGTGCTACAAATATAAGCAACATTAACAGAAAGCATAAACGCTAAACCAAGTACAATATTTCCTAAAATAATAATGACCATTTTTTACTAGTGCATGTTCTTCACCCATATAGATGCTCCACATTCTCCACTGTCTAGAGTACATTTGAAGAGTGGATCTCTAAATCAAATAAACTTGGTGCAGTCTAAAGACTACAAAATATGTGTCAGAAAATCTTTTGAACGAAGCTAGTTGAATCTGTATAAAAATTAATTTTAAAATTAAGGGAGAGGCTACCTGACTGAGTAGTTTTGGCTTGTCAATTGTTGATATTGTAATTTCATGCATTGGCCTGAAAGCATTCGAATCTTGCATGAGAAAAAGAGCGTGGGCATCTAAAAACTTTCATTGTTTACCAATCCACAAGCAGAATAAATTAAATTGTTCCAAGAAAAGAAGAACTAAACCCTTGTTCCTTTACCAAGAGAAGAAGGGGAGAGAGGATTAGTTTTTCCCAAGAAGAAAATTGTAGTACTAAGAATAGGGAGAGTGCCATTATATTCTTATCGAAGTGACATGGACAAATCAATGAAATTTTGGTAGTATAGAATTTTAAGTTTATGATATGAAGCATCGAAAGTACAGATAAAAAAGGACAACTGTATGAATAGACCATAGACTCGTGTCCTTAAAAACTACTCCGATTTCAGAACATTATTTTACCAGGATAAAGTGTCAGGCTGATTTATATCATGTAATTGGCTGATCGCAAAACCAGATTCGACCTCTGTTGTTGAACCAAATGCTGGTGGGGGGTGTTGTCTGCTTATATATGCAGAAAAATGAAAACAAAAAATATGTAGTTATAATATCCTTGAAGCCCCAAACATACAGCAAAGTTCAAATCTTCACTTAACCATGCCTCTGATTGCTGTCATAATCAGAAAACCGCTGGTCCACTTTTTCCTTCAAGTTTGAATGAACATACGTGCCAGAGTTTGTGCCAGGAGATGAATGAACCTACAAAGTGACGAATTTTTATCTTAGCATTTTACAGATAAGAACAAAATAGATTTCTCCTACAGACTCTATAAATATTAAACTTCAGAACGCTGGGAAGTTAAATGAAAAATACCCTTCAGTCAAAATAATACTGTTCATTAGAAGGAAATTACTTAATAATGTAAATAGCAAGAGATAAAAAAAGATATTTGATTTCTCTGTAATATCAAAATCCAGAACAATAATTAGGAGCTCAGGGTAGACACTACCTGTACGAGACGGACATCAATTGCAGGACGTGTAGCAGGATCATGTGCCATGAAGAGAAGATCTTTGTGCATGAGAACATCTTGAGCCCTCTCCACGTTGACGTCCATAGCATACCTTTGACATTATATTTACCAAATACTCATACCACGAGGTCCTTATAATTCTCAGACGGCAAAAGTAAATCTTACTTTCTGGAGCTAGATCCGAACCAAGTTCCACATGGACCACACTAGTGCTTTCTATTCTCTTAAGATAAGCGATAGAGAACACATTTTGGCATGACTTTTTTGAGTCAATATCCTAAAATAGAAATGCCACATGACCATGTAGATAATGCTTTCACGCTTCTTAAATTTTTCAAGAATTTTATTTCTATAAGTTTTTGGCTATGACTTACAGTATTGATTTAGCCAAGTGAAGCTAATATATACTTTATATATACATAAAAAAAGAAAAAAAGAACACCCGCGCACAAACACAAGAATATTATCGAACAATTACTGCTTCACGCCACAATTTCTTTTTCCTTTTTCTTCACAAACACATCTAAGAAGTATAATATCTTTACATGTACGGAAATTAGCCATGACAAGCAAGAAAATTAGCATAACACAAAACAAAAACAAAAATAAAAATAAACTTTCCCGTTACTTTAATCCTTCTCCAATTTCCTCGGTGATCCAACCGCCGTAAATCGATGGCGTAATCCATGAAAAATAGTTTTTCTCTCATCTTAGTGCACTTACGAAAAATAAACAGCCGTTAAGACGCCAGTGTACACGACGAAGTAATCGGAGAAAAACTATAAACGGATTCAGCTTTGGCGTGAACAAAGAAGCGAAAAATGACAAAAGATAGATTTCAAGTAGCATACCTAGTAGGAAGGCGATGAAAATGAGCCCAAAGTTCATCCTCAAAACCAGGAAAGCTGGTCTCCGCCTCATGCGACAGTCTGAGTCGACGAAGAACTTCGACGTAAACACCAACCTTCTGCTTCTGTCTCCAGGTCTGAGTCGAAAAATCATCCACCGGTCTACTACAACAGCTCTCAGTATCGTCCATAGCCATGAAAGAAACAAGAACCGCACAAAACGAAATCAAAACAAACTGTGACGAAATCCAAACGATATATCCCGGTTAAAGATCAGCGACTAGCAAATTTCAACGAACAACAAACCGATTGCTCAGTGAAGCAACAAGTGCGAGAATTATAGTGACGATAGAGGCGAAAAAGTAAGAGAAAAAACGATTGGAAGTTGGTAAGGAATTTGGCGCCCTCGCGCTCTGTGTTGGTCGTTTTCTTTCCCTCTCTTTGCTCTGTTATTGAAATTTTCACTCGAAATTTAAAAATATAAGAGAAAAAGAAAAAGAAAAAAAAGTATTAGCTGTTAGGTCGTGGCGCATTGGGCTTCCACCTTCGTTGCGCTTGTCGACGTGGATTCTAACAAAACCCCTCCGTGTTTTGCTTATATCACCGCTTTTATAAATCCACCCAATTTCCTTATTCCCCCATTAACTAATAATATTACAAATTGACCACATTGCTCCTTCCTTGTTTTCTACAAACTAATATTTATTATCTTTTTAATTAAATTGTATTATATATTTCAATCAACAAACCACCCATTTAATCCGTTCTCTTTTTTTTTTTAAGTTAGATATTTAAATATTAACCCTTGAAAAAAATAATTAATCATATAATTTAGAAAATTCAAATTAAGATTAAAAAGGTTATTTAAGACCAATTTAAAAATATGTATAGTTTTTTTCAAAGTTTCATGAATTGATGTTTTGGTTGACCATTCATATTTTGCACTGGGGAGGCCACTAAGGAGGCAAGAATGAACTTCGGTTTAGATTTTAAAGTTTATGCGCAAATTACTTTTAAAATGAACAATTTCAGTGTACTTTGTTGGATGAAAGCGTTCCACGTTAATTTAAGGAATGGTCATGAGTTTATAATCAAATAATATCTCTCTCCATTGGTACGAGGTTTCTTGGGGTAGCCCAAAGCAAAACTATAATACCATAGTCTCTGTTTGTCTAACAGACTCGACTTTTTTTTTTTTTTTTTTTTTTTT